ACTTCCGAACCTTTATTTCTTCTTCAAGTTTAAATTTTATTGTCAAAAATTGATTTCGTTTTTATTGCGTCTGGTGTTTAAAAAAAAATTACAGACATTGTAAATGTTAAATTTTCTTTTTTTATAAATATTCAAAGTTTCAAGAGCGTTTCAAACCTTGTGGATCAAAATCAATAAAAATATGTCTGATATAGAGAAAGCCTTTCAACCTAATCGTCTTTAAAATTACTTTTTAAGCGTTCGGGAATGTCTTTTATCGAAAAAACGATATCTTACTGCATATATACACCTTTAATGCAGGAAGGCATTTCAATTAATTTTCAGCTATGAGGCAGATATTAGTATGTACTTTTCTACATAAGTACACATCTATTGATAGTGAATATTATTTTATGTTGCACTTCTCACCGAGTTAATGTGCAATAAAGTATTTATATTCGATATTTTTACATATATTATTGAATATGTAAATAGTATGTCTAATACAAATTCGATATTGTTATACTATATGTCATTTATAGTTTGAATGGAATGCTTATATTGACGTGTCGTGCGAAGCTCATGCTCATGCATCTCAGAAACGCGCTTCCTCTCATTATTATGCAAACGAGGAGAGAATTACATACAGAGTTATTGACACTGAATACATGCACTAATTATTAGCTCCTTCATTTTTATCTATACACACATTTTTTATATAGAAACAATCCTCGGAAAAAATCGTTGAAAAAATCTCATCAGTTTCTAATAACATTTGTATTATTATTTTATAGTTTTTGTGTTGTGTATATAGTAATTTTGGGGCCGTAAGTTCTTCATCTATTTAAATATATTCTCACAGGGTATAGATTCTAATTATGTGTTTCGAATTTCTAATTCTGTGCTTGCTTTTTCCTTTTCGACAATTTTTAACATGGCTGGAACTTTTTTCTTCAATATCATTAATTATAGAAAACTTTACAGTTGCTTGAGAATTATGAGATATCACTTAATTTTTTTGCTGATGAAATTTAATTCTTCTGTGGTTTAAAGACTGTTATTGAATTTTATTACAGTAGTTTATTACTACATAGTAAGGATATTGTCGTTTTTTTAAAAATTGCTTTTAAAGAAGAAATCTTTCTAAAACTAAAGACTTCAAAGTTGAAGTGCGCAACTTTTTTAAAAACTAAAAATAAAGAATTCTTTAAATAATAAATATTGTGTCGCTTTTTAAAAACGTCGCCGACTTTTATAGTAAAAGTACTGGAAAAAATTGAATTTTAAAAATTCATGACAAAACTCTGAATTTTGATGTTTTTTTTGTTCGCCTCGTAAACTATAAAATTACCACAAATTATTATAATACAAAACCTTCAATTTTTTCTATTTCAGACAATAATTTCTTTTTAAATAACTTAATTTTACAAGAACTATCATAAAATTATGACTTATAAATTATTTAATGAATAATTTTTACAATTTTCATAAATACTAGATTGATAAAAGAATTTTAGTTAAAAATGCTAAAAAAAAAATTGAATTTTGGAAAAGTTACAAATAATTCCAGAAATTCAATTATTTTTAAAAGTAATAAAATTTTTCGCAGAAATTCAATTATATTCAAAAATTAAAAAAAATTCTGGTCATTTCAATTATCTTTAAAAATAATAAAATTCTTCTCCAAAATTCAATTATGATCAAAAATTTTACAAAAATTCTCGTCAAAATTTCAATTATCTTTATAAATAATACAATTCTTCTTCGAGATTCAATTATTTTTAAAAACTTTAACAAAATTTGTGGCAAAATTTAACAGGAATTCAATCATTTACAAAATTTGAAATAAATTTCGTCGAAATAATTCAATTATTTTCAAAGATAATAAAATTTTCACAGGAATTCAATTATTTAATATAAATTTTTTTTTTTTTAATTTTTCGAAAAAAAAACAATTATTTCAAAAGAATTTTTATAAAATTCGTCGCAAAAATTCAATTATTTAAAAAAAAATTTAACAAAGTTCTTTTCAAGAATTCAATTATTTTTAGAAATAGTAAAATTCTTCACCAAAATTCAATTATTTTTATAAACTTGAATGTAATTCGTTTTGGAAGAATTAAATTATTTTCAAAAGTAATAAAATTCTTTGCAAAAATTCAATTATGTTTAAAATTTTTTTTTAAATCCTCGTCAAAATTTCAATTATCTTTATAAATTGTAATACAATTCTTCAATATTCAATTTTTTAAAATTTTTTTTTAAAAATTCTTGTCAAAATTTCAATTATTGTTATATATAATAAAATTCTTGTTAAAATTTCACAGGAATTCAATAATTTATAAAACTTTTAATAAATTTCTTTGAAATAATTCAATTATTTTCATAAATAATAAAATTTTCACATGAGTTCAATATTATTTAATATACGAAATTTCATAAAATTTTTCGAAAAATATCAATTATTTAAAAGAATTTTTATAAAATTCGTCGCATGAATTTAATTATTTAAAAAAAATTTAACAAAGTTTTTTTCAAGAATTCAATTATTTTTATAAATAATTAAATTCTTCACCGAAATTCAATTATTTTAGAAAAATTTTATTAACATTTTTGGGAAAATTTCTAATTATTTTCATAAACAATAAAACTCATCGCAGGATTTTAATTAATTTTTGATACAATATTTTAATCAAATTCCTCGAAAAATGCAATTATTATTCTTAAAAATTTTATTAAAATTTGTCAAAAGAATTGAATTTTTTAAAAATTTGTTGTTAAAATTCTTTATGAGAATTCAATTTTAACAAACATTCAATTATTCAATAAATTATTTATTTTTTTATTTAATAAATTATTTATTTTTCTATTTAAATAATTGAATTCTTCTAGAATTTTCTAATAAGAATTGATTAAAAAATGAATTACCTAATAATTGATTTATTATTTATGAAAATAATTGAATTATTGCAACGAATTTTATTATGTAAAATTTTTTCAAATAATAATTGAATTTTTTTGAGAAAATTTACTACTTTTATAAATTTACTTTTTATAAATTGAATTCTTGCGAAGGATTTTATTAGGATTTTTGTAAATACCTAATTAAATTTTTTTTGAAAAATTTATGTTTTGTAATAATATTCTTATAAATTGTTGAATTTCAAAAAGGTTTGAATTTGAATGTTTTGAAGAATTTTAATTTCTACGGAAAAATAATAATGATTAAATATTTATTTCAAAAAGAAATTATTGATGTTTTCGAATAATTTTACTTTTAGAGAAATTTGTAAGTAAATGTAATAGAACATTTTTTTAAGTATCTAATAATTTTTAGAGTGAATCAGAATATTTTTTAGGGTCAGGGAAAAAGTGAGAATTTTGTCTGGAAATCAGGGAAAAGTCGCAGGGAAAAATAAAATTAAATATTTGTGGCAACCCTGTTTTTGTCGATTTGGTGAGTAAAAAAAAAATTGTTTTTCCCGTCAGTGTCGTTATAACTTCAGAGATTTGTATTTACATTAAAAATCAGTAGATGGTCAATAAAATTTCTTCATATTTGAGATTTAAGTATTTTTTTGGGTTAACAAACAAATTTTTGAAGATCGTAAAAAAGTTCGGTTCTGATTTTTACAGTTCGGATAATCGAGGTTTTGTATTTTGATCATATAAATTTAACAAGCATCCATAAACTACGACATCAAATTTCCCAATAATAATTACAAACAATTATTGATGTATCTAGAAATTTGAATGCATATAGCTACATCCTGTTTGGTAATCAGAAATTTGAAAATGATTTTATTAATAAAATATAAGAATATTAAATTTTGGTTGCATACATTTTTTTGAAAGAAATTATTCTATATTTAAATATTGTTTGGTGATTTTTACATCATCGACGAACATACGTATTCACGATTATGCATATCAGGCTATTATCAATCGACAAATTATTGACAAATTATCGTCATCGTAAAATTGAACACATTTCATTGAAAAAAACAATTGAATATTTCATATATCGTATTTTCTTTTGTGAAAGGAGATGTGACAAGATGACAGAATAATGAAATCTATCTTAACGTGTCAATTAGTTTGGGGAATGGAAATAACTGTGACCCTATTATATCAATTAAAATGAAACAGTAGTTTTATGCCCTGCTGTGTTTAGGATATAGATGCATCAATTTGAGTATAAAATAATGCGAGTCACAATTATTAATCAAATTGAAAATAAAAGTTCATTCACTTTTTGTATAAAGAAATTACTTTTAGGATAGAAATTACTTTTGGCCAAGAATCTAACTTTTCGTAAAAAAATTACTTTTAAGAAATTACTTCTGGGAAATAGATTGCACTTTCAAAAAGAATGTATGTTTTGAAAAACATTTGTGCTCAAGTCAAAAAAATCAAAAGAAAGGAAATGTTACACATATCGACTTACTTATCAGTTAATGAAGTTGGTTCCAAGTTATTATCGGTTTCTAGTCGAACGAAATTGTCTCTTAATTTTCTATTTACTTTCGTTTAGCGACATTTTCGAAAAGTTCTGACATATTTTAAAAAGCATATAAGGTTTGTTGAAATGAAAAAGTGTGCCGTAATCTTTTATTTTTTGTCTTTAAAATTTTATTACAACTTCAGGTTAGTCGATAACTGTTGTACGTCATATCATTTAGATGATTCCTAAAATTTTACATAACTAGAGTAGCAGGTTAACAAATATTTTTTGCTGACAGTACAAAATATTTACCAAACAGGAAAATGTTTTCGAAAAGCAAAACTTAGAAATCGATCTCTAATTACGCTCATCTTATGTCTATAATGCTTTCTCTTCATTTTCGTCTATTTTTACTTTTGGAAAATTTCAACTCTTGAGGATTTGAAGAAGTCTACAGACTTCTTCAAATCCTTAAGAGTTGAAATTTTCCAAAAGTAAAAATAGAAGAAAATGAAGATACAAAAATTGATTGGCAAATGAATAAGCATTGAAATAAATGAAAAAACAATGGACTCACCGAAAATTGTAGGTGATTAAAAATTTGAAGTCCTTGGACAGTTGCTCCATTCACTCGCCAAAGACATCCTGCCGGCTTCTGGCCCTCTGTGACTTATTTTTCATTTTTTACCCTTTCAAGTTGTTATTTCTTCATCGTGAAATATTTGTTGTGCGCTATATCCTCAATGTTTTCGATTCCGGCACAAGTTCTGAGAAGATAAGAGTTCACAAGGAGGACGATCGGTTGTATACACACAAATAGTCGACCTGATCGAACCCGATCGGGACAAAAATGGCAAACCAGCTGGCTTTGGGATCAGCCGGATATGGCTCTAAGAATCCCGAGAGAACTTTCTTCTTCTCCTTCTCTGACGGCGACGACGTTCATCCAAGTGGGCGTCATCAGCCTATCATCAATTTCATTTGCCAATAAATGAAAAATCCCCTTTTTTAAAAAATTCCTTCTTCTTATTTATTCTCTAAACCTCTATAGAAGCTAATCTGATTTTTCACTGCTTCGAGAAGATAAATAAACTCACAAGGGTTGTGTCTCACGTGACACACAGATGACTTCTCAGCTAGCTTCCCAGATTAGGAATTTTATCACTTTTTCTTCCCACAGTCTGCTGCCACGCTTCTAGCATTTGAAAACCGAAACTTTTTTCAAATTAAAAAAAAAAAAAAACTTGAGTATTTTTCTTTTTGAAATTCTCAAGGAAAGTGAAGGTCGAGTTTCTTATCCGGTTCAAATTCTCTTGAATAAAGACCCGATTTATTAAATTTTTCGAAAAGATTAAAAACTATTTTTGTAATTGTCAAAAAGGGGAAAATGTTTAATTTGCCTTATCACAGATCAAGAAGGTCACGGCACTGAATTTGAAGGAAAAAAAAATAATGATATCACACTCAATGAGATTAGGGTAAGAAATAATGGATACTTTGGAGAAGAGCGAGTGTAACATAAACCTCCTGATCTTGCGGCGTCTAGCCACAAACTACCGGCAAACCATGGCAGACGCCGTGCCGGACGAAGTCTTTCGTCGTTCGTCGAGTCTCGAGCGAAAGGAGGGTTCCAGCAGAGTGGCCGGTCAGGTTTTCTGTCTTCATCGAACTCATGATCGACCTATGCCGAGAGGATGAGACTTTGAAAGCAGAAAAAGATGAGAGAGTTTATATGCTGTTGCCGAAGGTGGGACAAAGAGAGAAAGAGAGGAGAGAAATGCAGTCACGATATAACTTGCAATTCAAGTGGCCATTTAACAAAACGACAATGTGTTAAACACTTTACCTTATGTTATATTACTTTTTACCTATTGGAACTCGAATACCCTTCGTCTATACTCGGGAAAAATATTAAAAGTGAAAAACTTTGGGAAAAAGAAAGTAAAACAACCCTTTTGATAAATTAAATTACATTAATATAGGTTGTTTTAGCCAAAATCAGGTTTAAACCCCAATATTGAATAAATTTTCCAGTAGAAACTGATTTTAAGACCTAAAACATTCTTATATTTTTATTTTAAGCCCAAAAATGAGTTGAATTTTTAGAAAAAACACGTTTTTAGGTTTAGGAATGATTCTAATACAAAACCACCAATTTTTTCTATTTCTAGACAATCATTTCTTTTTGAAAAACTTAATTCTTAAAGAACTGTATCAAAAAATTATTAATTAGAAATTATTTAATGAATAATTTTACAGTATTTTAAAATTAACTGAATTTTAAAAGAGTTTCGTTTACAATTTTTATAAAAAGATCAACTTCAAAACTTCACAACTTTATTTTCAAATTTGATATTTTAGAAAATTTCAATTTTGAAAAAATTTTGAAAATTTGAAAAAAAATATAAGTTAACTAAGATTTTTTGAAAAATTTCAATAATTCAAATTCTTCTGAAATTAGTTAAATTTTTTAATATATATTTCATTAATAATTAAGAATAATGGATTTATTGAAGAATTCCAATTAAGAACACCATCAAAAGAAAAAATTGAATTTTGGATAAGTTATATAAATGATTGCAGAAATTCAATTATTTTCAAAAGTACATATAATAAAATTCTTCGCAGAAATTTAATTATGTTTAAAAATTTTTTTAAATCCTCGTCGAAATTTCAATTAATAGGTATATAAATAATAAAATTCTTTTCCAAAATTAAATTATTTTCAAAAATTTTAAAAAAAATTTTGGCAAAATTTCAATTATTTTCGAAAAATTTTCCTCATTTCAAATAATTTTCAATATTTAGTATATTCTAATAAAATTTTCCAAAAGAATTCAATTCTTTAACAAAAATTTTAATAAAATTCTACGCAAACATTCATCTTTGATAAAAAAAAGTGTTCCCACAGATCAGGGAAATCAGGAAAAAGTCAGGGACAGTATCATTGGTCAGGTAAATCAGGGAAAAATCAGGAATTTTTATTAAAAATACTGGAAAAAAATGAAAATTTTAAAATTCATAAGAAAATTATGAATTTTGATGTCCTTTTTGTTAGCCTCATTTACTATATGAAATTACCACGAATTCTAATACAAAACATTCAATTTTTTCCATTTCTATAACAATAATTTATTTTAAATAACTTAATTCTTGAACAGCTATCATAAAATTATGATTAATTATGATTAATAATAAAATTATTATTAATTAATTTTCATAAATATTAAATTACTTTAGATAAATTCAATTTCAATTAAAAATTCAATTATTTTTAAAAAGTTTTGATAAATTTCTTCACAGGAATTCAATTATTTTCAAAAATAATGAAATTTTTAGCATAAATACAATTATTTCCAAATATTTAAATAAAATTCTGCATCAAAATTCAATTATTTTTATAAATAATAAAATTCCTCGCAAAAATTTAATTATTTTTAAGAATTTTATTAATCAAATTCTCTTTAGGGATTCAATTATTTTCATAAATATAATTAATCTCATCGCAGAAATTCAATTATTTTCGTAAATAAAAAAACTCATCACATGGATTCAATTATTTTTAATAAAATTTTTAATTAAATCGTGGGAAAATGTAATTTTATTAGAATCCTTTAAAAGAATTCAATTACTTAAATAAATTTTGCTATGATTTGTTTATTAAAATTTTTAATTATTATTTTTAATACATTTTTAATTAAATTTCCTAAAAGAATTCAATTATTTTCATAATTAATAAAGTCATCACAAGATTTAAATAATTTTTATTACAATATTTAAAAAATTCCTCGAAAAATGCAATTATTGTTAAAAACTTTATTGTAATTCTTTAAGGGAATTGAATTATTTAAAAGAATAATTGAATTTGTTTGTTAGAATTTAAAATAGTTATTTTCAAAAATTTTCATTAAACTCTTTCGCTATAGAAATTGTATTAATTTTAAAATGAATTTGTCGAAATTACATTATTTTACACATTTACTAAATTTCAATAAAAATGTTCCCAAAAAAATTCAATTATTTAAAAAAAAATGTATATAATTCTTTTCAAACATTCAATTATCAGATTCAGAAATAATAAAATTTTCACAAGTATCCAATTATTTAAAACATAATTTTAAATAAAAATTTTCGAAAAAATCAATTATTTAAAAAGATTTTTATAAAATTCTTCTCAAGAATTCAATTTTTTTACTCCAATTTTAATAAAATTCGTAGCAAGAATTCAATTATTTTTTAAAACTAGTAATAAAATTCGTTTGAAAAATTCAATTATTTTCATAACTAATATAACTCATCTCAGGATTTCAATTATTTTTAATACAATAATTTTAATTAAATTCCTCGAAAAATGGAATTATTCTTAAAAAAAAGTTATTCGAATTCTTCAAAAGAATTCAATTATTTAAATAAATTTTGGTATAATTCGTTTATTAGAGTTTAAAATAATTATTTTCAATACTATAAATATTTTAAATGAATTTAAATATTTTCATAAATAATAAAAATTTCACAGGAATTCAATTATTTATAAATTTAAAAAAAAATTTCGCAATAATTTCATTATTTTCATAATAAAATAATAAAAAATTTTACAGGTATTAAATTATTTTCATAAATAATAAAATTCTTTTTAGGATTTTAATTATTTTCATAAATAATAAAACCCATTGTCAGAATTTCAATTATTTTTAATATAATTTTAATTGAATTTCTCGAAAAGTGTAATTATTCTGAAATTTTAAATTCGTCAAAACAATTCAATTATTTAAAAATTGGTTGATAAAATTCTCTATGAAAATTCAATTTTAAGAAACATTCAATTATTCATTAAATTAGTTAATAATTGGATTCTTGTAGAATTTTCGAATAAAAATTGATTTATAACTGAATTTTAGATATTATAATAATTGAATTTTAGAAGTATTGTAGCGTGAATTTTTAGAATTGATTTTTTAAAAGGTTTCAAATTAAAATCTTTGAAAGTTTGAAGTTTTCATTTTTTAGCTATATAACAATTTTATAGAATTAATATTTTTGAGAAATTTTAATTGAGAATTTTCAAAATTATTTGAATTTTTTATTTTCTAATATATATTTATAATTGAAGAATTTCCGAATAATCGAATAACCTATGAAATTTTTTGCTAAAGTAGATTTTTTCGGAGCAAGTCAGAGACATTTTTTTTAATTCTCTTTAATTGGTCTGAGTGATGTTTATATACCTTAAAAATATCTAATTAAATGTAAAAGTACAATTATATATTATAATGAATAAAATGAAGTTTACAGACTGTTTTTTTCCTTAAACTACGTGTACCTGTTTACTACTGCGCGTGTAATGGTTAGATAAGAACTACAAAGTTGCACTAGTTAAATACTCACCAAATTTAAGTTTCAGTACTGGAAAAACCGGTTATTCTGACTCTAAATTTTGCAGCCCTTTTTATCATATGAATATGTCATTTAAAATCATGAGTGGTAAAGGTTAGTCATATATTATTCATGAATGCGGTAAAAAAAACCTTTAGGGGCACATAAAAATCATTAAATAGATCCCATCCACAGGCTTCGTACTCATCAACTAAAATCTACTATATTTACTATATTTTTTCACGTTTTGCTACTACTTTTTTCCTCTATTTTCGCCTTAAAGTCGAATTGAGGCGAAAATAGAGAAAAAAAAGTTGTAGCAAAACGTGAAAATAGAGAAAATTTAATTAAATAAATTAAATAAATTTAAAATTTAATTTAATTTTAAGTACATTTTAAATAGAAAGTTTCAAAAATTCTCTCAGATTAAAGGTCGGTATATATACGAACACAATTTTGCACTTTTCAATTGAAACGATAAGAGTTGAAAAGTTTTATTTTTTTTTTTTTATGGAATCATACCGTTTCGCAAAAGCATTATAGTAGGTATACGGGTTAAATCTGAAAAGTATTTCGCACAAAAAACTATCCGCAGTCTCTATGCTCTTCTTGTTTTCTCCTAAGTATCAACTGATTTCTTTTTCATCTTCTCATTTTATTATTTCTTTTCCTTTCTTCTCCCCTAGTTTTAAAAAGAATGTCTGCCATTTATTCAAAGACTTTACGAGAGGGTCTCTATATAACATTACAGTGCAGGATGCACACGCAAGGATGTACGTGCAAAGAAGCTCTAAGACCTCTATATATATAAAGAGAGGAAGAAAAAAAATTTTAATCGGACAGACTTCGCATGTTTTTATCTGTAATTGCAGCAGCAATGTCATGATGCTTGCTTGTATATAGTATTATTTTTAATTTTTTTTAATATAAATATTTCATTTTGAAAAAATATAAAATACGAAAATATATAGGGGAGAGTCTCCAGTTGTGAGACACCTCCAGTTGTGAGACAGTCAATTTTTTTTAACATGCAATATTAAAAAGCCGATTGGTTTATATAAAAACATTTCTTTTTATATGAGCCAACTATTTCGTGTACGCCGAAGCGGATATATAAACTGTTTTTGTTAAATACCAACACTGTGTGTGATAATCGACTAAAAAGCGTTTTTTCAATAAATGCAAAGT